CGTCTTCGTCTGTGAGGCAAGCCCCTCAACCCCTGGTAATGACACTTGGTTCTTGTAAGAATCCTGCAACAGACGTTCACGTCTTAGTCTGTGAGAGGGCAAGCCCCTCAACCCCGGGTAATGACACTTGGTTCTTGTAAGAATCCTGCAACAGACGTTTCACGTCTTCGTCTGTGAGGAGGGCAAGCCCCCCTCAACCCCCCGGTAATGACACTTGGTTCTTGTAAGAATCCTGCAACAGACGTTTCACGTCTTCGTCTGTGAGGAGGGCAAGCCCCTCAACCCCCCGGTAATGACACTTGGTTCTTGTAAGAATCCTGCAACAGACGTGTCACGTCCGTCTGTGAGGAGGGCAAGCCCCTCAACCCCCGGTAATGACACTTGGTTCTTGTAAGAATCCTGCAACAGACGTTTCATCTTCGTCTTGAGGAGGGCAAGCCCCCCTCAACCCCCCGGTAATGACACTTGGTTCTTGTAAGAATCCTGCAACAGACGTTTCACGTCTTCGTCTGTGAGGAGGGCAAGCCCCCCTCAACCCCCCGGTAATGACACTTGGTTCTTGTAAGAATCCTGCAACAGACGTTTCGTCGTTCGTCTGTGAGCAGGCCCCTCAACCCCGGTAATGACACTTGGTGCTTGTAAGAATCCTGACGTTTGGTGTCTTCGGATTTGGCTGAATTGAGCGAGCAAAATTGAGTACGGGTTTTAAATAAATTTTCTATACCTATTTAAGCAGAACTCATTCACCCAGGATAAAGCACAGGTAAAGGTCTTATGTTGAAATTACATATAACTTTTGTATCACTAACTTAGTAAATACATGTTATACCTACGCACAGGTTTTAAGTAAGATCTTTTATCTACCTATTCAAAGTCAAATAAATACGAGCGATCATTGAAGTCATATTTTAAAAAGTTACGACCTCATAATGTCATGCATGACGAAAGATATGACAACTCTGAGTCAAATTAGCTCAAACACGGGATATAGTGCAGTGTGATTCTAGTCTACCTTCCGTCTCCATCATCAGATTTTCATGAAATATGGCTAAGAACCATCCTGACCATATAAGCTTTTATATAAACAAAACCGCATTGAAATCGGTTCGATCGTTTCGGAGATACGTTGCTTCAAAGAATCGTAGACACACAGACATACAGACGCGTGAAACTTATAACACCCCTCCGGTTGGTTCGTCGGGTGTTAAAAAACATTGATACCTAACATAACAACGAGAAGGTAAGATAAATAACTTACCTATTTATGTACTGCAATGGATAAATATTAATTCGATAACAAATTAAACGAATTTTCAGCCTTGACCAAAATAGTTTGAGCAGTTTTTACCTGACTGCCCCGCCCTTGTTAAACGAAAATTTGAAATATGAAAGGTCAAGCTAGTGAACCAAATAAACACTATGTTGATCCGTTTCTATAAGAATAAACAAAAATGAAATAAGGATGAAAACAGAATACCTATCAGATAATGATGCATGGAACACGGTAGACGAACTGAAAATACACGTGTGTGCTGTTAGGCGCTTTACACACATAACATCCGTTTCTACGTTATTTTTGCGCTGCGCTATCGCATGTGAATTTCCACCTCAATCGCATTTAAATACGACGACGAATGCCCAACGGTGCGACTGTCAAATGGTTTTGTTTTTGTTAAACGGTTTGACAGGCGCATTCGTCAATTATGATCTTAAAGTTATAGTGTATGTTAAGCGCCTAATTAGGTAGTTAGGTAAGTGTATTGAAATGTAAGTCTAAAAGTCTTTTTCCGCTCAACACTGATTTCATACAAAAATAATGTGCTATACCAAAATCGGATATCCATTTACTAAAAAGACGCTAATAATAGGTACACGTTTTTCCACGGTTTTCGCATATATTTTAAGCATAATAATGCGTAGGTATTCTAAACGTGGGACTAAGTATCTCTCTCTTCGTATGGAACACCATATCAGAGTTTTTCAACCGCCTACTGCAAGTAGCAGGCCTCTGACATGGTTGTGTAACGACCGCTATCATAGACAGCAACCGGGACCGACGGCTTAACGTGCCCATCCGAAGCACGGAACCATCTTACTTGCGGACAATCAGGTGGTTCAGCCTGCAATGTCCTAACCAGACTGGGGACAAATTCACAAAGTGATAAATATCAACTTTGTGAGTGACCCCACCGGGAATTGAACCCGGAACCATTGCGTGGCAGGCAGGCATACTAACCACTGCGCCACATCGGCTGTCGACTGTGTGACTATGATTACGGCAGTTAAAGACAATAATTTTTACAAACACACACACACACACACACACACACAACATATCATTGACACACACACATATATACCGTAGACACACACACGCACCAAATCACATGATCGGGTAAAACAGAAGCTCGCTTAATTTTCCCGTAGCAACCCGTTGCTAAAAATCTCTTAAAAATTGCAGATTTGTCTACAGCTTCTAAACCAATAGTCGACGAGATTGAATCGGTTTCGCGCCAAAATAGAGGATGCCATTTTAATTTCCTGGCCAAACTGGGCGGTTATTTGCGAAGACGACCGTCACACTTTTCGAAATTAAATTTTCCACCTGTGTGGGGAGAATTTATAAAATAGGAAATGAAGCACCAACGTTGGTATTGATTTGGTTAGCTACATCGATTTGTTTCTGGTTTACCCAAAAACCTGTTCTAACTAAGTTAGATATGAAAGCAAGTAACATGAGTTCTAAGTTCTGCTATTCTTTGTTACAGAGAAATAATTATTCTGTCGGAACAAAAAGCACTATCACAACAGAGAGGAAATGTTTTTGGAGGCTACTCACATTTCATTCCACATCACTACTTAGAAAGTGACGGCCGATGTGGCGCAGTGATAGTGCGACTGCCTGCGACCAAGAAAGTTCTGGATTCAATTCTAGGTCGGTAACTCACAAAGCTGTTGACAAATATCATATCGTGAATTTGTTTCCTGTCTGATTCTTCAAAAAGAAAAAAAACCGTACTTCGTAGAGCTCGATAAGCCATCGGTTCCACTTGCTGTCTATGAATGACAGCACCGACTTGCTTGCTTGTAGAAGGCTATTGCAAAACTCTTACACCAGGGTTCAGCGGGTCGTTGGACCACTCGGTGTCCTACAAGAAGAGAGAGAGAGAAGACACCTAGACATTAGAATGTTATTTTTAATATAGTTTTTCAGAGCGCCTAAAACCAGTTATCTGTAACAACTTTACCTAACTATCCTACTAGCCTTGGGCTAACTCAGACAAAGAAATAATTTGTATACCATTGCCCATCTGTTGGTATGGCGATTAGGAAGAAAAATCTTTTCTCGTGCCTAAAAGCTTTTGCAGCCAGCCTTGAAAAAGTTTTAGCCGAGATTCAGAGATGAAGTAGATATTTTAGTCTCACTATACATTCCTAAGCAAAAAATTAAATTTAATACTTATTATTTGTAATTTGGCCAACATTGGGACACTGTAAAAGGTACGTAAGTACTTAACTAGGAACATAAAATCACTTTTCAGCATTGGTAGACTTCTTGTAGATGCAGGTTAAGAGACGAATGAGTCAAGCATAAACGAACTCGAATACCAAATTTTAAAACACTTCTCGTGTTAGGTAAACACTTATTAGAAAACTTCCAAAATTTTCACCGCAGGCAGGATTTGAACCTGCGAACTTCGGCATCAGTACTGCCGACGCCCTAACCAACTGGGCTACCGCGGTTCTAATCGAGCCTGCGAAATTATGGAAGAATATCTTGTCCACTGTCGCGTGGATGGGCTCCATCTACCGGGATAGTTTTGCAACTAATTCCCAGCGACTAATTCATTCTTTACAGATTGAATGTAGTCAAAGCGATGAAAACCCGCGATAAATTGAATACCAAATTTTAAAACACTTCTCGTGTTAGGTAAGCAATATTTGGAAAACTTCGAAAATTTCACCGCAGGCAGAATTTGAACCTGCGACCTTCGGCATCAGTACTGCCGACGCTCTAACCAACTGGGCTACCGCGTTTCTAATCGAGCCAGCGAAATTAAGCAAGTATATCTTGTCCACTATCGCGTGGATGGGCTCCATCTACCGGGATAGTTTTGCAACTAATTCCCAGCGACTAATTCATTCTTTACAGATTGAATGTAGTCAAAGCGATGAAAACCCGCAATAAATTGAATACCAAATGTTAATACACTTGTCGTGGTATGTAAACAATTTTTGAAAACTTCAAATTTTCACCGCAGGCAGGATTTGAACCTGCGACCTTCGGCATCAGTACTGCCGACGCCTAACAACTGGGCTACCGCGGTTCTAATCGAGCCTGCGAAATTATGGAAGTATATCTTGTCTACTGTCGCGTGGATGGGCTCCATCTACCGGGATAGTTTTGCAACTAATTCCCAGCGACTAATTCATTCTTTACAGATTGAATGTAGTCAAAGCGATGAAAACCCGCAATAAATTGTAAAGAATGAATTAGTCTAATTATGGAAGTATATCTTGTCCACTGTCGCGTGGATGGGCTCCATCTACCGGGATAGTTTTGCAACTAATTCCTAGCGACTAATTCATTCTTTACAGATTGAATGTAGTCAAAGCGATGAAAACCCGCAATAAATTGTAAAGAATGAATTAGTCGCTGGGAATTAGTTGCAAACTATCCCGGTAGATGGAGCCCATCCACGCGACGGTGAACATGATATTTCCATAATTTCGCAGGCTCGATTAGAACCGCGATAACCAGTTGACAGGCGTCGGCGTACTGATGCCGAAGATCGCAGTTCAAATGCCTGCGGTGAATGGGTTTCAAAAATTGTTTACTAACACGGAAGTGTTTTAAAAATTCAATTTATTGCGGGTTTCATCGCTTTGACATTCAATCTGTAAAGTGAATTAGTCGCTGAAAGTAGTGCAAAACTATCGGTAGATGGGCCTCCGACGGTGAACAGATGTACTTCCGTAATTTCGCAGGCTCGATTAGGCTCGCGATAGCCAGTTGGTAGGCGTCGGCTACTGATGCCGAAGGTCGCGGGTTCAAATCCTGCCTGCGGTGAAAATTTGGAAGTTTCAAAATTGTTACGCGGAGTGTTTAAATTATTCATTGTGCGGTTTTCATCGCTTTGACTACATTCAATCTGTAAGAGGCGAATTAGTCGCTGAAATGGTTGCTGAAACATCCCGGTAGATGGAGCCCATCACGCGACGTGGACAGAATATACTTCCATAATTTCGCAGGCTCGATTAGAACCGCGGTAATCCAGTTGGTTAGGCGTCGGCAGTACTGATGCCGAAGCGCAGTTCAAATCTGCCTGCGGTAATTTGGAAGTTTTCAAGTGTTACTAACACGAGATGTTTAAAATTATTCATTATGCGAGTTTTCATCGCTTTGACTACATTCAATCTGTAAAGAATGAATTAGTCGCTGGGAATTAGTTGCAAAACTATCCCGGTAGATGGAGCCCATCCACGCGACAGTGGACAAGATATAAAATAAAATAAATATAAATATAAAATATGTTTATTTCATTCTTACAATTTACACATAAAGCTAGGTATCGGAACCTCCTATTAAGCATAACAATGCCTGTGCCAGGAGGATCCACTCTTCCGTAGGTATCTAACTAGGTAAGAACGTTTTTTTTTTTAAATTAACTAAAAAACAAAAACAGAAAAACTTAAAAGTAAGCATACAGCAAAAACTAAAATAAAATAGGACATTTAAAATAAGAATAATCAAACTTGTGTGTGTGTGTGTGTGTGTGTGTGTGTGTGTGTGTGTGTGTGTGTGTTGTGTTTGTGTATGTTATTGTGGTGCGCGTTTTATTAAGTTCTCCGTGTCATGATAAGATTTAGGCATTAACCAGTCATTAAGCAGCTTTTTACAATTGTGTGATAGATGTTTGTATATCAATTCTATTCAATTTGTTATATAGCACAGCAGACCGTTTATAGTATTGTCTGTTCGCAAACACCTTTTTGTTCGGAACACTGGAGCTACGTCAGGTTTCCTCCTTTTATTACTTTTTAATTTAGAGTTATATGGCAATGTTTTGTGTAGTTTTAAAACCGATTGTAATATATAAAGTTTCCTAACCGATAAAAGATTGCTGATCTGGTATAGGGATTCAGTGGAAAATCTTCTCCTTTTAAAGTACATAACTTTAATCAGTGCACGCTGTGCTCTTTCAACTGAAAGAACGCGTTTTGCTCCTCCCCATGCAGGTATGCAGTAGATCAGAACGGATTGTGCTAAGGCTGTGTAGGTTTCGTTTAACAGGTTTCTTGTGCTATTTGTTCCAGTGCTATGTCTTGGTAACACGTGTCTTAGGGTCTTGAAGATCCAGGTTAATTTGCGCAGTCTACTTGCTACATATTCTAAATGTGGGTACCAAGACAGACTCTGGTCGAGCAACACACCAAGATATTTTGTGTGGACAGTCCTATCGATGGTTGGGCAGTCGCAGTTTGTACGTTTATCACAGGAGGAATTTTAATGCTAAAGTCGCTGAGCTCATGAATACGATTATAAATGCTAAAACAAATGTAATTAGTTTTACTGGTATTTAGCGTGAGGAGATTATGTTTTAGCCAACTAGCAACCCTTCTCAAACCCTGCTCTGCATTCTCCTGGACTTTCGACCAGGACTGTCCAGTGAAGACAATGGCAGTGTCATCGGCGTAACAGAACAGTTTTGCGTGTTTTAGATCCATACTGCAAGGTCGTTTATATAAATAAGGAAGAGTGTCGGACCCAACACGCTTCCCTGCGGAACGCCAAATGTCACCTCCACCTCCTCCCCGGTGTACCGATCAAGTCGAACTCTCTGTGTTCTCTTAGTCAGGTAACTTTTAAAAAGTTGAAGGGCTGTTCCTCTTATCCCAATCTTTTCGAGTTTGTGCACAAGTATGGGGAAAGAGACCGTGTCGAAGGCTTTTTTTAAGTCGAGGAAAACCGAGGCACATTTAATATTTGCATCCATTTGTTTGGCAACAAATGTACTGAGTTCAGTTACTGCATCCTCGGTTGACCTCCCCCTCCTAAAGCCAAATTGTGATACAGATAACAGGTCATATTTATTGATATAATTCAACAATCTAACATTTAGTAGTTTTTCGAGCAGTTTTGCTATGACCGGTAATACTGATATTGGCCTGTAATTACTTATGTCGTCTCTGTCCCCACCCTTGTACACAGGAGTAATAAATAGACTGTTTCAATACTGCTGGGAAAACACCTGTATCCATACTAAGATTTGCAATGTGTGTAATAATAGGTACAACTTCATGTCTAGCTATTTTCAGGAAACTAGTTGGAATATTGTCCCAGCCGGGGGCACTATCCGATTTTAGACCCATTAGTAGTCTATCCACCTCATCATCATCTATGTGGAGCAGCACAAGAGAGTTTGGTTGAGCAGGAATATTTTGTAAATAATTATTTTGTTCGTTACCTAGGTGTTGTTGTATATTTTGTGCAGCTGAGCGCCAATATTTGAGAAATAAGTATTGATAAAGTTTGCTGATTCAGTTGGAGTTGATTTTAAGTTTAGCAATTCTGTGTTAATATTTTTGACTTTATTTGTGTATGTTATAGATTTGATATTTTTCCACAGTAATTTATTGTTTTTTGTTGAATTAGCTATCAGATCTCTGTCATATTTCCTTTTTAGTTTTTTTATTAGATTATTACAATAATTTCTATAACGAACATATGTTATCTTTGCAATTTCATTGTGTTCATCCTTCCGAAATTGTTTTGTAGCTTATTTCGGTTATTTATGCAGCGTAGGATACCTGGAGTAATCCATGGCTTTATTATGCGTTTAGATTTAGGAATAGTTATAGATGTGGTGTTCTCTTGAATTGATTGCGCAATGCTGCTTATGAGACACTCAGCTACTTTTTCGGATCGTCCGAGAAAAGCAAGGATGGTAAGTTTTTATTTTTTAAGGTTTTAAGTGCTTCCTCAAAGTTTATTTTGGTTTTAGATTTAGGAGTTGTGTAATTACTTTTAACCTTCGATAAACAAAGGAATGTGGTAAAGTGATCAGTAATTGTAGTTTGCAGGACTGCAATGGAAGCCTTAGTTCTTTTTGTATTTATTTTTAACATTAAATGGTCCAAACAGTTCTTTTTTCTAGTAGGTAAATAATGGCCTGCAAGGATTCCATATGATGATAACATATTAAGATAATTTATCCTATTTTTGTATTCATGTGGTGGTTCTTCATCCTTAGGTTTAATATTTATATTTATATCGCCAGCAATAACAATATTCTTGTTTGATTTTAAGGTTTCTAAATGTTGACATAACGATTTAACAAAAGATTCAGCATTAGTGTTCGAAGGCGACCGATAAATACATAAGACTGTACTGTTCAAGATGTCTACTTGTAGGCATGATGCCTGGTCGAAGAAAACCTCGCGAATATTGTGATTTATAGATTTCTTAACATATACCACAACTCCATCATTTTGATTCTGTTGATTAGCAGTAAACTATGAATTATAATTGACAAGTTGCGGTAGTGGTTTATTTACGCTAAGCCGGCATTCCGTTAAGACTATAATATCTGTGTCAACTTTTATGGAGGATAATAAGAGTGATAAGTCGTCAAAATTGCCATAAATACTGCGTATATTTTGTGCGATTAAGGTGAGATCCTGTTTTCTTATTTGAATATGCCTTGTCAAGTCGTCATTAGAATCGCATTCAACGCAGTCCGCTATCTCTAGGCAGTCTATATCTGTTATAGTATTTAATGTGTCACCCATTATGGTCGACTAACATTAAGCAATTCAATTTGACTGGATAATCAACGGGTAGGTAATATGAAAGATAACATGCCGCTAATTCAGTAGTCAGCTGTGGAGGAAGTGATTGAATCATTAAAAACAACTCAATAATTAGTTCATATACATGTGTAATTGTATTGATTAAGTATGTGTCGATAAAAATTGGAGGATTTTTGTAGCAATAGTTGGTATATAGGTTATAATTACGTGTGTATTTTGTGTGCGTGATGTTAAGTTTGTGTACAGGTATGTAAGTACGGGTTCATGGCGGAGAACTGGATGTGTTTGTTGGATGTGAGTGTATGCGTGGTGTTGGTTTTGTGTGTTGTAGGTGTATGGTAAATATGGTAAGTAATATCGGGTTTCTTTGCAGTTTGAAAGCATGTAGTTTAAAAATTTTAGACAAAAACAAATCACTATTATAAAGAAAAACAAAATTCAGCATAATGTAAACTAAACAGCTGATTATATACAAGGATAGTCATTCTTCGTGTAACAGCTGATGTATCTGGTTTTCATTTGTTATCATAATAACTGGCTATACTTCCATATACTTCCATAATTTCGCAGGCTCGATTAGAACCGCGGTAGCCCAGTTGGTTAGCGTCGGCAGTAATGATGCCGAAGGTCGCAGGTTCAAATCCTGCCTGCGGTGAAAATTTTGGAAGTTTTCCAAAAATAAACGAACTCACTCATATTCTGTGAAAGAAGTTGAAGAGATCAGTCTATACTGGTTATTCTGATGGCTGTATAGAGAACATGAATAAAAATGTTGATGACTTAACTGGCTATTTGTATATACTGCTGTTAGACCAATATTTTTCAAAAGGAAGCCTCAATTTATTAAAAAGTTTTCAACAAACAATACAGCATGCATGATAGTCGGATCACCCGCAGATTGACTCTGCAAATAAAGTGGCGCGACTACAATCCCGTAGACAGATCTGATCACAATAAAAACAACAGCAGACAGCTTTTAGTATTGCCAGATAAACTAGAACTAGATTGAGCGTAAAAGAAGTTTTAATCTCGGGCCGCGCTAATAAGCCAATTTAGTTCCATACTAAAAGAGGTGCCAACAAACGAAAACAGACCTAATGTCAAAGCATTGGCATCATTTTGGCAGCTGTCTAAATTAGCTTATTGGAGTTGCTCGAGATTAGAAAGAAGTAGGTACATAAAAAGATATTTTGTTTTTACCAAGCCGCTTATTTTGACTTATGGATAACATGATTTAGGTGTATGAAATAGTTCTATAAATTCTTGTACAGTAAACAGCATAGCACAACGACACTGATAGTACCAGAAAGAGCTTTTGAGCAAAGTAAAATAAGTACAATAGAAAGTAGGTATTCTTTTTTCATTGCATTTTCATGAAATTCGGACGTTCGATACTACCCTGTATATTTTTCATTCTTTATTCTGAGCACTTTGTAATATAAACCTGGCAATACCGGCGATTGTTAGTGCCGGTTTAATTGAGTCCTAGATAGCTTTGATACATGAACGCGGAATTTCTAG